CAGATCTGTCGTAAACTTAAGCGTAAATATCAACGTTTGTGTATTGAATTATTTTAGTGAACAAATGAGTAAAATCCTACAAAATATTTTTACTACTTAATTTCCAGTTAAAAAAGCCACAAACTTTCGATTTCACTCTCGATCGTTTGTTTCACCGACACTAGGAAAATTCTATTGTAAATATTTTTAACTTTTAAAAGGCACGAGGTCGATGCTTTCACAGTACAGTTCTTTGCTGCATTCAAGCTTATAACTTCATTGAATCAATGACAGTAAGGTGATCGTGTATCGGTTGCGAGGCAAATTTCAGTCTTGAAAATCTCTTGTTTAAATAAATTCTTTTCATTTTGTTCCTTTCTTGGAATTCTTTGGAAAGGAAACCTCTAGTTGACGCATTTAATCTAATATCGGTCATGCTGACATGGCGATTTTTAATGTATGGGTGTGAGCTCATGTGACATGTAATAAAAACCTTTAACCACAACGAATATCGAGAAATATTTGTGCGGGTTTTTTAAAAACAAAGCGAAATCGGTTGAAAACTATGGGTTGGTTTTTGTTTTCAGTGGTATTGCCAAAAACTGTCAATATATCAGTTAACCACACTTTCTTAGAAAGATGCAATTCCAAATTAATTATTATAATTTATGTAAATCATTTCATTGGGCCTGAAAAGTGAAAGTTGTTGTTTCAGTGATGTAGTTTGATTAAATAGGAAAAAATATATAAAAATCATTGAATGATCTAAAACAAAAGAATTCCTATTCTTTTTCCAATTACTTTATTGGACCTATAATGATGCCATTGATCACCAAAAGCTTGGATTTTTATTTTTTAAAATGGACACCAGTTTAAGGCCTCATTTGAACATTTAATTTTTTAATTTCAGCATGCTCCTGAAGGACAACTTGAACAGAACTGCATGACTAGGTATGGTTCAACCCACTAGCAAAAATTGTGGACATAAACATTTCAGACACTCGTTGTGACACTCATATTTAATTTTTGGCCGGTTTTTCTATCATTTTATTTAGACAATTTTCAAACAAACTGCCGCAACATACCTAGGGTAAATTTACACCAACAAACCATAGAAAATCGTAGTTGTATTGTTATTGTATCTTGGCCTTGAAAATGTGATGCCATTGCCCAAGAAAGTATAGTTTTATAAAATACTGAAAAATTTCAGATGTTGCCATTTTTAACAATATATTTCTCAGAAACGTCTCGCCAGTGATGTTTATGGATTTTGAAGCGCTCACTACTTAAACTAGGCATTCTTTTGGTATTGTAGTCCTTCGACAGGATACCTAACAGCACAGGACTTAAGCCACTGTTCAACACCCAAACTAGCCCTGTATCACTGCCGTTTTCAATAACACAAGGCTCCTAAATATAATAGAGTCAAAATTTAAACCGGCAGTTATATACTTCACTTAATCATAAATAAATATGACAAAACAAACAAACAAAAACCAAATGGATCAAAATCTGCCAGCAAATTTAGTAAAACCTACATACAGACATGCATGACCTTACCATGCAAATGAAGAAAACCTACATCACCCAAAAAGTCTTTTTGGGTGATTGATGGAAATGGAAAACATAAAAAATTTACCGCTGGTTAAAATTTTGACTTTTTACAAGTGAATGTGAAAATGGTCCTCTGGCCCTTTACTCCACACAGATATCATACCATATTGATAGTACTCTCCCCCATCCCCACCCCCTCCCTAAACCCATCTCCTGCCTCAGCTGGGGCATTAAAGCACCATTTACTGAGGAGTGTTCAGCACAGACTGAAAAGTATATTCTCCTCAAATCTTTCCTTGATTTTTCAAATTAACACTCCATTTTTGAGTCACTTTGTTACGGTATCTTGTCATCCAAACAAAAAAAACAAGGTGTTTTCAAGCACTTTCAGTAGAAAAAATATTCTTTTTAAGGGCTCTTCAAGCACCCTTGAAATCTAAAATTATTATAAGTGCCTGGTTCCTTGAAAGATGGTTATTAGCAAGGTTAAGCCAACTATTAAGTGTGACCTCCTTGTCTACAAAATTGTAACAAGAGCTTATAAAATATTTTTGAGTCTTTATTCCAACATTAAGTTATGATAGCACAAACTGATACTTCAAATAAACTATGGAAAGGTATACACAATCGTGGATTAAGATTCTAATCCTTGGTCATAGCACTAATCAGCCTTTCAGGAACCACACGTCTTGACCTTTTTAAGGCACCAACCCTGGGACCCCATGTAAAAGGGATGCTTGTCCAGACCCATCTAGCATGGTTCAAGCTTTATTTCATCTCTGAAACAGGCAGACAGGCAGTCATTTTAACTGCAAAAAATATCAATGATATGCCTCTTTTTCTGCTTTCTTAATTTATTTCGGTCATTCACGGCCCCAAGCCATCCCTCTATGGGTAAAATGACTAGCATTCCCTCTTCAACATCGTAAGTGATATAAAAAGCTGCAATTTACACCAATAAACTAGGCAAAAATCCCTGCCCCCAAGAAGTGGGTCAATCCTCCCTTACTTAGAAAACCAGGGCATTTCAGTCCAACATCCAACTGCCAAATGTATCTGAACTTCAATGGCAGAGAACGGATCTTGTTTAAAGTACTTTGGGAGCAAGTGAACTGTCCGGAACTGTCCATAATTTATGGACAGTTTTTATCATGGAGAGGTTAAAGGTTTGTTTACATAATTGGAAAGTACACTTAGGGCTGTTTACATAGAGTGGGGGACCCCGGTCTAGTGGGGTTGGTTTCTTTTGTATTCACGCTCTGGGGGACACAAAACAAAAGAAACCTACCCCACTAGACCGGGGTCCCCCACTCCATGTAAACAGGGTCTTAGTTTATCCAGCTAGTCTCCAGGCAACAGTCAAAATTTTGTAATAATTATTAGATTCAAACAAATAATCCCAAATAGACAGTGACAAAATTTAAAAACACCCAACTGGCAAGAGAAAACCAGTTGGCTATTTATGAGTATGGCCGAGGTTTTAAACTCCAGACAACAAAAATTAATCCAGGAAAACTTGAGAACAAATCGAGAAAGTGCCCAGAGCAGGACCTGAACCCAGAGCCGCCAGATTACGAGTAAGACATACTGAACACCTGCCTCCTCTGTAATTCAGGGTCAAAATATTGCTTCAATATTATTGATGCCAACATCAACTAATATAATAGTATTGTAAGAATGTTAGTGTTGATCCATTAAAGAGCAAGGCATGGGGGAAAACTGAGAGAAAACAAGATGACCTAGAAGTTCTAATCTAAATGGGTTTCTAATAAAAATACAAGAGGGTTAGCTTGAAAAGAAAATATTCTTTACAAAACACACAATAGTCATGGTAAAGCACAAAAAAATTATTTTTGCCTCAAAATACTTTGTAGGTACTTATTTTTCTTGGTAGGGGGCTGGAAAGAGGCTGAGAGGATGGAAAAAACTTGGAGGTAGAAGGAGAAAAATATCTGAAAACTTTGCGTGATAACTACCAAGATTTCTCGCAGAATTTCTTAAATTTTACGAAGCCATTATATAAATTAGGTGCCAGTTTAGGATGGTTTTTTGAGTGCAAATTTTGTCTCCAATCCATTCATTTTTTGACCAAAATTTCTGAAAATGTTGGAATTAACAACATCACTGATAGTTCATCAAGGAATCACTTTAAATTTTGTTTTAATAATAAAAGATATTTTGTTTTGCTACCCTATCCAAGCACGGTTTGAGTTAAAGCTGTGTATTATGCTCAGTAGTCAAACTAAGGATTCTCCCCCACAAGGCTCATAACTACAAAAACTTGTACAGCATAATAAACAGTAACAAAGCAAAGTATTATTCAGTAGCTCTCATTTGAATTTTAATTATGGATGTATTATTCTCGACTGGGGCATGAGGGTTCAGATGGCTCAAAGTTTACCTTAGCCCTAAAAAATCTTCACTTTCTCATCTTCACACTTATGATGCTTATGGTACTCTCAAAAAACGTTTTGCTTTAACAGAGTCTTCTGGCTCCACCCTTCATATCAGCAGAGAAATAAAAACTTTAACCAAGGTTTGAACTTTGGTGGTGTGCCAGTCAATCTATGGATTTTTTTTCTACAGGAGCTGGAGCTCAAACTGAAAAGAGCAAGGAATTGACGGGTTGATTAATGTTTAGGGTGAACCCTTGGTACTTCTCATGCAATGGCGTGTAGTTGCCACCCTTGGTTTGGAAAGCAAAAGAGGACTGGGAGGGAAAGAAAACTAAGGCCAGTGGAGTGGTACATTGTTAACCTAAGCTAGATGCCCTAAGAAAGCAAGTCTACTGTAAGCTACAAAGAAATCTCTTCAACCCTTTAAGCCCTAAGAGTGATCAGCATCAAATTTCTCCTTGTAAACACAATGCTTTGTAAAACAGAGTGATCATGAGAATTATGCACATGATGACACAAGATGAATTTCCTAGATATTTTATCAACTTCTCCCCACTACTTATGAAGAAAATGAATAGGGGCAACATATGAGAATTCAAATGTTGATCTTAGGGTTTAAAGGGTTTTTAAAAAGCTCTGTATGCTGGATCCCCTCCCCTTAAATGGACACCTAGAGTTGGTCCCTGCTGTTGTTTGTTCATGAATATTATAAGGCGAACAAATCTACTAGATGGATGCTTATAGTGCTAGTGTCTTAAAGAGAGTAATATTGTATTCCTTAGCCATTAATAACAGCCCTGATAGTTCACATGCAAATTATGTCAAATGAGAGGATGCTTGCAGTATTAACGGCTGAGAAGTAGAAACCACTACAATAAGCAATTCAAAACACAACAAAAAATAATTTTTGAAGGGTAATAGTAATAATATTACAGTAACTGTTAGTCAAGAGACACTCTACATGCAACACCCTTAAGCTTTTTTATTATAAATTATTATGCGTCAACTAAAATGCAATGTTATACAAGTTCCACTTAAGCTCTCTGGGTGAAAAAGCTAATGACTCAAGGGAACACAGCATAAATACCGCAAACTATGAATTGACAAAACTAGTACTCACAATGATGTACTCTTAAATGAGGAGTCAAAAACCATAATTTATATAAAATAAGGCTAAAGTGTTGGTTTGGACATCTTTTACATTTACATTTGAATACAAAGCTTCATCATGTTCCACTGGTTATTTCTCTTCGCACCACTCATTTTCCTTTCGAACCTATCAAGGAAAATACAGAAAAGATAAATGGCATCAGGAAAAGATTTCTCCACATAACACCAACTTTCTCTCCATGACTGAAACCTTAGCCCATAAGATACACCCCTACCTAAAGTAGATGTCACCTGTACCCAAGTTAAACTAGAATGTCCTTTGTCCTAACTTGGATTATATGAATTACTGGTATTAGGGCTGGGGTTACAGGGCAGTCACTAAGATTTCAAGTTCCTAGTATGTCACTGCAATTAGCAGGAGGGGAATCAAACAGCTAGGAAGCTGTTTGGGTTCTATTTTCTTTTTTTTTTCCATGAAAGTAACCAGGGATCATTCACATAATAGCTGGGGAAAACCCCTGGCCCCTGGGGTCCTTAGTGATAGTGCTGCTAGGGAAAAAAAAATTTCAGAATCAAACTACAGTGAAACCTCCTGTAAGTGAACACCCAAAAAAGATTTTATTGTTCAGTTACTCTGAGGAGGTGATCCCTTTCAAGACTAGAACAAGCAAAGGTCTTCACTGGGTAAAGGTCCAAAAGCATCAGCCAGTCAATTTTTTTAGGGTTCCCAAAATTAAAATCCCTGATGGAACACTTGGCTGCACCATTTGTGCCTTTCAATCTGTTCTACTGCCCTATATGTAACTTGTCTCTCTTCAGCTTTTCTGGGGACCCCTGCTACTTGAACCATGAATAACAATTAACCCACCTGTTCTTCTTCTTCTGGAGTAAAGTCATTCTTGATATTAAATGTCTTCCTTATTTCTTCAGGAGTTTTACCTGTTTATTGGTCAATACACAGTGGTGGATTCAATTCAAATTGAATTTAGTTATTTGCATACATTCAGGAATGCCAGTCACTTGAGAAGAACAAATCCCCAACTTTATTTTTCAGTTTTTTAAGATTCTTTAAGGGATTGGAGCATGAAAATCAACCAACTGCAGAATCTCTTTCCTCTTTTTTTCTTTCTTTCTTTCTTTTTTTTTTTTTTTTTTGGGGTAAAATGTTTCCTGCAACTTTTTCCTGATCTACATTGTTCAGACATAGCACTCAATAGGCTAACTTTAGATAACAAAACAACCCACACCCCTCCCTCCTCCCCTCCATTCAAAGTTGGGTGTTTGTTGTTTTTTACAGGTAGCACGAACAACAACACATCATTGAGTGGAGGGGATGGGGGAGGGAAAGCTTAAAACGCAATCCAGTAGGAAATTGAGCAATTTTAATTTTCAGTGGACAAAATCCTTGTACCAGAATAATTTAAACAATATCGCATTCTTTTTTACATTTTTCAAGGGCTATAGATATAATTAGTTGTCTGTAATAACACCAAAGACTATTTCTCATGGGAGCTCGAGAAAATATAATGTCAAATTTCACAAAAATTGTGAACACACAGGTAAAATTCTGAAAATTTCATGTGTAAGATGTCATTTTGTAAAATTTGACGATAGTAGGCAAAAAATTTTTGGTTGTCCCTTACTTTTATACTTGACCAAAACAACCCTTATAGCAGTACTCAAATAAATAGACCGGCCACTGAGAGTGTAAATATACAACTAAGGCGGATGTTGGCAAAAAATTTAAGACTAATTTTGAAACCTAAATATGACTTGTGTTTATAGATATGACGTACAGAAGATGAATGTAAACTTATTCTCAATATGATTTACACTAAATCAAATCAATCAATTAATTTTTTGTCCTATTGCATCTTGTTCTTTCAACAAGAATTTCCTCAGGATTCAAGACATACATTTTAAATATCTTAGGTTATGTCTTTGAGGTGTATTTTGGTAATAAAATACAGCAAACACCTGCATATAAGAACCTGTGAATTAATTAAGAACCTCCTGGAACAAATTTGCCACCATAATGCACAAAAATAAAAGAACCTGTTTAGCCTGTTCCAGGCGTTTAGATCGTGGGGAGCAAGTTAAATCGTAGGCGGCCAGCACAAAAAGAAACATGAGGGGAAATAAACGAGGGGATACTGTGTCCCGCCCTATTTTTTCTCTCGTCAATTTTTTGCTGGCACCCTAATTTTTTGCCCGCTCCCCACCATCTGAACGCCTGGAACATGCTAGAACCTGTTTAGCCAAGCAAGATCAAGCAGGTTCTTATAATTATGTGGGTCATTATGATAAACAATTTAACCAAGGAATGTAATTTTGAGATTGTAAATTTAAGTGTAACAAGAACATACTGTACCAAACTGTATGTAAACTCGGCAATAAGTTTTGTTAGGGTATTATAATAATACAATTATGAATAAATACTGTATTTTTAATGACCAAACCCAAGTTTATTTATTTTTCTGCTAATCAACAATCTCTTATCTCCTTCATAAAAATTAAGAACCCAGTTAAGAACCTACTTAGCCTAAATTGCTAATAAGTACTCCAAAATACAAGAACCTATTTTGCCATACTTCAAAAAAGTAAGTTCTTATATGTGGGTTTTACTGCAGTACACTTTTAATTTTGACTTAGGGTGGAGACGGCTGACATTTCACACTAATGGGGGCACAGACTGAACTCAAAAAGCAATAAAATAGAAGAATACCTTTGATCATGTTGGCAACTGTTTTACATGTCACATCTAGAAGTCCTTTGATATCAAGGTAGTTTGCAGCCTGTAATGAAAGAACAGGTCAAACGACTGAAAAAATATTATGTTAATGCATATGTTGTGGTCAATTTTTCATCTCAGTTAAGTTTTGTTTTTCTTTTGTTTTGGGGTAGGGTAATGTATGCTAATGAAATTGAAACAAAGGAAAAATAAAAATTACCTGAGATAAAGAATTAACTGCAACTCATACACTGTAATTAAAAGGGCAGGATAGCTCAGTTGATAATTTTCCAATTACAGCGAGATCATAAAACATTTGAATGAGATATTAGACATGCTCTACTTTTTATAATTCACCTCCTTCACACTCTCTGTCCAGGTATTAAGCCGTGAGATGTTGCATGTGGCTCCAAATTCAATTGCATCTACTTTTTTTTAGGCTTTCAATATTTCATTTCTAGTGACCATATCAAAACTGTAGGTTAACAAAAAGTTAAGCTCAGACTAGCACTGACAGTTCTATTAATACTCACAAGAATTAACTCAAAAAGTGTTCCCTGGTCGACTTTGAGGAATTCTTGATCCCAAGGATCGATGTCATCTGTTCTTTTCTCTTTGTTTTCATCATCATCTGGTGGTGGTGGGTCATCCTTGTGTTTCTGAGCCCACTTGATCACCTACAAAATAACAAAAAAACTGATTACTTACAGTGCAAGCTTTTAACAAGGGCTGCCACTGTGACTATCCTTACTTGAACAGCACAGGGCAAGATGAAAATTAGGGAGCTTAAGTACAGGCACTTTTGAGCCACACACGTCAACAGGAAGTAAGGCTGTGTCCACTTTTTATAAGCCTTGATGCTAAAACTCTTATGGAGACAATTTGCCCAAATCTTTAAATCACAGTCTAAGTAATTCACCATGGTGTTATTTGTTTGGTAAGTAGTTCTACCTTTGAGTCTGTGAACGAAGTTCTATGGTATGGCCATTCAAATGAAACCTCTGAAGCAGTACTTTCATGCGATACCATCTATTTTAATAGTGTGCAAATCTAAATTTGGGTCTGTGGATGAAATCCTGTGTAACCATTCAAATGAAACCTCTTCAACACTAACAAATGCAAGGCTCCATGTAAAAAGGCTGTATCTATGATGCACTGTATTTACCTTGGCAAGAATGGCTGCATTGACATTGGGAAGTGGGACTGGTTCATCATCATCTTCATCCATGCCAAGATCTATAAATTAAAGCATCGTAATATGGGTCAAACCATGAAGACCTTAAGGTTGAGTAAACAGCCTGCATTTTAATCTCAAAATATTAGCTTTCTGTGGTATCATTTTTCCCTCTAACATAGCCTTGTACAACTTTTTCCTATGCACTCTCTATGATTGACACTGTCAAAAAAGAAGCACCTTGAGATGGTCCTGACTGTTCTACAGTCAAGGTTTTACAATCTCTAAAAGGAGAATGAAACCCACTCTGAAATAAGCACCAACTGTCAATCATAATTCACCGTACATAGCCAGTAATTTTCACCCTGGCACATCAAACTGTCATTTGCTCATGCACTTACTTGAGTTGTTAATATAGAGCGAAGTTCCCCTTAAAGTTGCGAAAGCCATTTCTATTTTTAAAAAAATGAAATAATGTCCTGATGTCTTACGCCTATTTATGATAACACAGACAACATTAATTCTCCAATATGTTTGTAGATATGATGTGTAATAAATACTGAATACAATGTTATGTAAATGTAGAGATGTGATGATCATCTCTGCATTTATTTCTTCACCGTGCAGTTCAAATATATAAATAAAAATAAATAAATTAAATAAATAACGATTTGCAGGTAGCACATCCACATAGTGGTTCTTCGTCTACCTGATTCATGGTCGAATTGGAATTTGGAAATGTTGGTTTTTGAGGAGAGGGGAAAACCGGAGTACCCGGAGAAAAACCTCTCGGAGCAAGGGAGAGAACCAACAACAAACTCAACCCACATATGGCGTCGACGCCGGGAGTTGAACCTGGGCCACATTGCTCCCGAAATATATGAAATTCATATATTCATCATTTCACAATGTTATGTGTAATCACAAAAAGGGCTTCTCCTTTGAACTCACCTTCAAGCATAGTTTTTATTGTGACAGAGGCTTTTGCTACTTCTACATCAACTTCATAAATTTCTCCATCTGAGCTTTGTAGTTTAATTTCTGGCATCTGAACCAAAAAAACCACAAACCATCAAACTGTTGGACAAAAAGAGAGGCCTAGAATGGGCGATTCCAGAAAATATCCATACCATACCACGGACGGCTTTTAGGATTTCCGAAGGGGAGGGGAGGTTCACGATTATGGAATTCTGAGGGCATGGGGGGTATTTACGATTGGAAATCCGAAGGCATGGCGGAATTCCACAGGTGGGATTTCTGGAGTAGAAAGTGTAGAGTGAGTTCCTTGAAAACGCTATTGTTGTGGACTTTTGTAGTTCGTAAATAAACCACGGACGTATGACCGCAGAAGCAGAAGACAAGCATCGATAGATCAGACACGTGTTTACGCTCATAACTTATAGAAGTGAACAGTAAAACGTGAATTTCTTGTCACATGAAAAAAAAAATGGAATATGTATCTTACTGCTTGCAAGTTTCCTGTTATTCCCATCCGATGAACAGTAAAAAAACTCGCACCAGTCCCTGGCTTCCAAGGAACGCCTGTCGGATTAGAACACTTTTCGTGCACACTACATGACGTATAAAACGACGCAACCCGCCTCGACGGTATATTTCAAGGGCACCCAACGACAATTTTCGGAAGAATATCTGTTCGGAAGACGATTTGAGATCTAGAATTTTCGAAACATTTGTTGTAAAATTTCTTGCTTGCCTGCCTCTCCTAGGATTTTCGAACAAGTAAAAAATGGTATAATTGCCTATTTTTAACGGATTTTTACCCTAAAAAGGTCACCTAGAATTTTCGGGAGCCTTTTTTGTGGCTGAAATTTTCGAAAAAGTAAGTTTTGATCCCTATTATTTTCGGACCAGTAGACTTTCAGCTAGGAAATCCGAACAGATGAAAAATTTTTAGGGGATAAAAATATGCCTATATCTACCGTTTAAATACTAAAATACGTTTAACAATGCTATGTTTAAGTGGTTTTCAACTATATTCTCGTTGGGTGCCCCTGATATTTGACCACCGAAAGATTTTAACAGTCTGAATTTGAGCTATTTTGCTTTGTAAACGTCAAAACAGCACAAGAAAACAAAGAGGAGCAAAATTGCCGTTAGTGGTGTTTATTTTTATTGCCAAATTCGGACCTAAAAAGGAGTTTGCACAGCCTGTCTACTAGCGGTAGGTTAGAGTCTGAAAGCTTGTCGCCTGGCGCCGCTAGATCACAGCCTTGAGGAGGCATAAATTCATGTTCGTTTGTTCATATAGGCGTTGCTAAGTTGAAAATGTACTTCCAAAAAAACGGAAATTCTGAAGGGGAGGGGGGGTTCACGATTATGGAATTCTGAGGGCATGGGGGGGTAACGCATTTTGGAATTTCCGAAGACAAGGGGGGGAAAAACATGGAAGCCGTCCGTGGTTGGGTATGGATATTTTCTGAAATTGCCCAATATAGCCCCAAGTTACTCCCTTCCTTGCTAAGCATTTCACTCAGTGAAGCATTTGTTGAGCAATATTTTGCTCTTTCTGTATGGCCAGGTTGTTAAAAGCAGGGGTAGGATAACCCAAGGTTAGCACAATATTTCAGGGGCAGATCCAGAAAATTTAAAAAGAGGTAACTGCGAGACTTGCCAGTTACAATACCGTTTTATTCATTGGTTACAGAACTCTGACAGGATTTTTGTGTTCAAAGATTAAGGCTATAGAAGACACATTTTACTGAAATAAGTGACATGACTTAATTATGTTGAAACTGCCCATAAAGCTACACTTTCATAAGGGGAGTGGTCACTTACAAGAGGTTCCTGAGTGAGGGCTCCAACACCCCACAAATTCTTGGTTTGCAACCACGTGACAAGGCCGCCATGTCGGGGGTCAATACAATAGAATTTTTTCTCCAAGAATTTACACGAAAATAGAGTTTAGTTCCCAGAGGAGAGAAATGCTTTTGTTCTTGACCATCAACATGGCACAAACCAGCAATTGCCTGACTTCTGGCAGTATAGGTGTTATTGTCTCATTTGCTCAGAAACCCTTCTAGCTAATCCAGCCAGGCTGACCACACACATGCAAGCAGAATTGGACACCACACCACACCTGGGACTATGTCCCCTACTATATATCAACAGGATGTGTCGTCTTAAAAGTCCCACAGATTTTGAGTGAGCAAGGGTTGTGAGACCAAACCTGTTGTTCATTGTCCTTATCAAAAAAGACTCCTCAGTTATTTGAGGACCCTGAGTGTTGGTTTTGCCAGAATTGGAAAAGCGGCCTCCTGCTTAGAAGACAGATACTAATCCAAACTGGTTTGCTGTGGCAGTTTGAACCAAAGTGTTTAGACCGGGAACATTCTGATGTTTTGAATGGATGGTCCCTCACTCGCTGAGGATCACAGTACCACACATTGCATGTGGATAAATTTAAATTTTCAATTTTACCACAGACTTAAATGCTACATATAGTAAAATGTACGTTCTCGAGACAATTCAAAGGCTACAAAAGTAGTCATATCCGAACCCACATCTTGAATTCAGGGCGGAAAAACGTTCTGCGCAAGCTTCTGCGCACCCTTTATCGCAGGCTCAAGGCGGGCTTTTCTGTGTGTTGACTGTACAGTTTGTTTGTTTGTCACTGAGAGAGTTCTGACTAAGACTGAATGAAATGCACAAGGTGTGAACGTTTGCTCCTCGAAAAGCCTTTTTACTTTTGTGTGGTTTTTGTTTTTTGTCACTTGAAAATTACTTTGGACTCGGAACAACCAATGTTAAAGGAAAAACGGATCATTCCGTCAGTCTGAGGTGGAATAAAGAGTTTTGAACATTTCCAAAGAGGCGAGTATTTTTTTGATTGTTCATTCGATTTATTTGTGAGTTGATTTCGCCTTCTTTCGCCGGGCTGAATTAAAACCCACTCATTTTTTAAATTAGTAAATACTTTTTCACATGCCCAGATTTATTCCCTTTGTAGAACCACCTTTATCCTTCTATACTGGTAGAAGGCCTGTAAACTTACTCTAGAAGAAAAGAATCATTTTTCTGTTGCTCAAATACTATAAGTAGTCAGAGTTTTCTTCACTTTTAATTACATAGTTTTGTTTTCCACTGCACTGTGAAAGTTTCTCTTCTTTATAAGAAATAACTTTCTGTACGCAAATTTTCCATTTCACTCGCTGTGAAGTATAGTACAACTGCCGGCAGTCACTTCAAAACAATTGACTCTGCCCGTAACACTGAGTTGCTGGAGCTGGATTTGTCTGAAGCGAGCAAAACAAATACCCTTATGTGCAGTTTTCTGAATTTTGTAACGATTGGCTGAGTTTAATTTGTTTGAATGAAGACCCTCACATGGACCAGTTATTCACTGAGTTTTTAAAGCGAGGAGAAGAGCTACAGGGTGAATCATGGCTTAGCTGCGACGCTCACTGCGACTGATCTTTTGCTTTTAAGATCTTTAGGGAGGTTGTTTTCATACAAAAAATTCATTTCTTCATTGTCAGCTAGAAGTTTTTGCAGAAATGTAATTTTAACTTTGTTTGAAGGAAATCCTACTTACGTGTAGGTTTTTGACAGATGTTATGTATTTTCAACTTGACAACAGAAAGCATAATTTATATTTATATCTTAGTACGCGAAACGATCAAGTTTAAAAATAAACTATAGTTGCTTTAAAACCGATTTTTGGGAAGATTTTACTAGATAAAGATTGACCTTTTTTCTGCCTGCATATCAACGCAATAACTTCTACATTAAGCATTTTGTTTATATTTTAGTTATCTGCGAAACTACGAGTGTCCGATCGAGCGAGGGTTTTAAAATATCAGCTCCAGTGCGACAAGTTCAGTGCCTTCAAACACATTGTGGGCAAGCGTTAATTTTTTTGGGCAAATCACTGTCCAAAGATATGTTGTTTTTGTGTCCACTGTGGAGCCCCGGACCTTATATATCCAGGAACTTCCTTATATGAACACATTTTGTGAATGCATCTTGAAAAAAATCGGACCTACGCATGCACATTTCCAGTACAACGCAAGGAAATTGATGTCGTTAAAAATCCGTTTTACTATGAGGTGTTCTTCGAGAAAATAAGTAACGACAAGGTTATAACCACAGCTTGCAACTTTTGAAGACAAATTACCTGTTCTTTCCAGGTTATGAGTGGAAACATCTTATTTTTAGGCAATAAAATATTTGAAATCCCGCCATTTTTTCAAACCCGGCCAGGGGATCTGGGCAAAAAAGTTCACGCATGCTCATTACGTTTTTCCGCCCTGCACATCTTGAATCAATACATCAGACCAGTTGCTATTAATATATTGCTATTGACAGAGATAGTTGCGATGACAGTGAACTCATAAAATATATGTAACTTTCTTTGCAACACTTTTATCCCTTCAAGTAGGTTAAAACTGGAAGAAGGAATTTATCTATTTGCGGAAAATTGCAAAAAGTATTTTTATAAGCTAGTTACTGCACACTCAAAACATGATGCACGTAGAAACACGATGCACAGCAGACACTAAAATGAGCTTTGAGAGGATATAATAGAAAAAAAGAAATACCTTACTCGTCCAAGTTTGGTTTAGTGTCTTTTGGAAGGATCTAAATGAAGAAAACCACACCTCAAAAGACCGGTTTCTAGTTTTCTTGCATACCAAACCTCCACAACGGACGGAACTGTCCCAGAATTCCTCTAAAAAGGAAAAAATTGTCCGAGGGAAACTGGTAACAATGACGTTTTGTTGGGCTTACATGAAGGAATGCACGATGACAACAAGAAAGTGGTCACTAAGCACGGTTTGACACACGCAAAAATGGAAACGTGGGTGAAAATGTGTAGTCTGTCTCGTGTCAAAGAATGAAAAGTTAATTTTCCTTTCTGGCTATGGATTTTCTTTTGCAACATTTTAGAAGGTTATTTTCGTTCTTGTGCGGAAATTCTGACGATGTGCACCCGAAGGTAAGCCAAAAAGGTTTAATTGACACAGGAAATGGCATAGTCAAATAACCAATTGTAATTTCAGTAATGATTTTATGTGTTTGAGGAATCAT